GTTAAACAGCAGGAGCTGCCACGGGGCCACCCAGGACATTGGTCACTCCTCATTCATGGGATGCCCTTTCACCATCCTCACCCTGCACATCGGTCACTCCTCATTCACAGAATGCCCTTTCACCATCCTCACCTCGCACACTGGTCACTCCTCGTTCATGGGATGCCCTTTCACTGTCCTCACCCTGAATATTGGTCACTCCTTGTTTGCAGGATGCCCTTTCACTGTCCTCACCTCTCATTACTCATTCATGGGATGCCCTTTCTCTGTCCTCTCTCCACACATTGGTTACTCCTCTCACAGGATGCCCTCTCTCTGCCCTCACCCCTCACTCCTCGCTCACAGGATGCCCTTTCTCTGTCCTCACCCTCACATTGGTCACACCTCATTCACAGAATGCCCTTTTACCATCCTCACCTTGCACATTGGTCACTCCTCGTTCATGGGATGCCCTTTCACTGTCCTCACCCTACACATCGCACATCGGTCACTCCTCACTCACAGGATGCCCTTTCACCATCCTCACCTCTCACTCCTCGTTCATGGGATGCCCTCTCTCTGTCCTCATCCCTCACTCCTCACTCACAGGATGCCCTTTCACCATCCTCACCCTGCACTCCTCGCTCACAGGATGCCCTTTCTCTGTCCTCTCCCCGCACATTGGTCACTCCTTACTCACAGGATGCCCTCTCTCTGCCCTCACCCCTCACTCCTCGCTCACAGAATGCCCTTTCTCTGTCCTCTCCCCGGCTCTTTGGCACCCACCCGCTCCTCCCGTGACCTTCCCCATGTGCCCTCGTTCACATGCCTCACATCATTCCCAGGGCTAGCACACATTCCTGGCTCCGCAGGATGATGAAATCCCTTGCCACCAAGAACCACCTGACTGACCCTTCCCCAAGAAATGGGAAGAGAAAGGGAGAGAGAAAATGTTTCACACAACTTCTGGCTTCATTTGGGGGAGGTGGAGCAGACAAAGGAGGTGTTCTGGCACTCACAAATAGTTTTTCTCCCTTTTTGCATCTGTCTGGCTTTGGTAATACTCACATAAGTGCAGCACAATCCTCCTTAATGCGTTAAGACTAAAATCATAGCTTGTCTTGATTGGAGCCTACGTGTTAGCAGTGCCCAGCTAAGTCAGGGCTTGCATTTTAATTAGAAACTCTAATGGTGAAATAATATGAGAATAATCCCAGTAAGTGCTTTGCCTCTGGCAATTGGAGATAATACTGACATTTCAGGTGCTCCCTAGTCTGTATCCATTTTTTATGATTTTTTGTCCTACAGCATCAGCTACAGGTCCTTATATTTGATAAACAATATCCTCGCAAGTAAGCACGATAAGAGGAGTTCATTCCCCTGAAGAGGCATGGTCATGGGCATGTATCTCATTCCCTAATTTTTGGAAGTGAATGGACGGGGGTGAATCAGTGAAGGAAGCCCTGAAGAAGTTTTTTTCTCTGTTGGCTTTGCAGAAAGSCTGGGCCCCCAGTTTTGGGATCAATGTTTTATGGCAGAGAGGTCCTGTTCCCCAAGGAAAGACCACTTTGTTGAACACTGTTATACAGCCTGGAACAAAAAAAAAAAAAATTTTTTCTCCCCTCAAGGTTTTGGACTTACCTCTGAGGTGATTTTGGGCAACACTTAGTGCAGTGGARTTTTGGACACTGATTTGGTCTGTAGGAGACACTACAACCACCAGTAATAACCAGTTATCCTTTGCTGTACTGAAAACACTACCGGAATATTTTAAAAGTACTGAGGTTTCTTTTTTGGGCTGATAAAGTACTACTTTTAAGGCATTTCAGTTTTTTTAAAACCCAAAGGCTCAGTCTAACTTCCAGTGAAGTCAAATCTGCACCAAGGCCAGTTGTGAGATGCACAGCATGAGACAAAAAAAAAAATGAACAAAAACTCATATAAAGATTTAAATGCTATCCAACTCATTTTCCTATGAACACAAAATTATTACAGTTTTGTTTTCAGGTATGATAACACTGGAAACAGGATCTGAGTATCCAGCTGGAAAAATGGGGGGAAAGAGGGAAAAAAAAGCTGAAAAATAATGTCTGCAGATATGTTTGAAGCAGTTGAACAAAAATACTTTGCTTCACTGTCTTAGGCTAATCCTCTCTGCCAGTAAACTGGGCAGCACTGTGGTTTCACAGTTTGCAGATGCTGTGAGGTAGAGGAGGGGCAAGCAGCTCCTCAGACATTCACTGGTGGCCCTGTCTCTCTGTGTCTCTCTGYGTCTCTCTTTTTCCCTGRCCTGYTARCCAGAGCYTTCAGTGAAAGAAWGGAGAARTGCAGAAGMAAARATGATTCATCAGTACCTGGGCACAGAGGTTGTGAAGAACAACGGGGAGGGAGTCTAAAATGAAATTCTGTGAAGGGAGAATGAAAACCAGTCTGAGTGGGGTATACTGTTTAAAAATCTCTTTGGTCTGCAGTTTGGGCTCAGGGGTATCAGAGGGGTCACAGGTAGTTCCCAGCTCTGTGGGAGTGCTGAATTCTTCTCCAAATGTGCAGTTTTGGATGGATTTTCTCACCAAAATCACAGGTTTCTGAAGACCCACTGAGTGCTGGCTGACAGTTAGCTAAGCACACTGCTTCCTTTGAAGGTGCCAAACTGCACTAAAAGTAGTTAAAGACACAGGAAATGTTTCCTTTTTCCATTTAGGCAGTTGTTGTCCTTGCCCCAGGGATGTTATACGAGCACGAGTGGGAGGGAGCAGCACCCTAGGAGGGGAGTTAAATCGCCCTGGAGCTGGTGAAGCCTGCTCCCTGTATTCCGTCAGCTGCCTGCCATGGACCAGCATCATTAGGTACATGAAAGGGGAAAACAAACATGCCCAAAACCCGAGGAAACAAAGCAAACAGGATTCATGGTCTGCTGGTTAAAAGGCAAGCTCTGAGCAGTCAGGAGARCTGGCTTCTCTCTCAGGCTGTGGCACTGTAACTCTCGGTGAGCATCTCCTCCCTGTGCCTCAGTTTACCAAGCTATGGCTACCCCTCCCTGAATACATTAGGAGGGCTTTAAAACACCCACAAGCTAATCAGAGTTACAGGTTATTCCAGCCTTGGCAAGCTGGGAAAAATCAAAGCTGATTTATACAGTCCAATCATTGCTGGCACTGACAAACTGGTAGAGACAGCCCTGTCAAGTATCAGATTTGAAACACGAGGCTTGTACCATTAATTCCTTTTATTTTTTTTTTTTTGTGTTCCATGCAATGGGAGATTGATATTGCATACAGTGATATCCCCTCAGTGTGTGACAAAGTGAATAATGCCAGGGAGGTTCAGTCCCAGGGAAAAGCCACAGCAGAGCTCCCCATAGGTGTGCTGCCAGTGGAACCCCAGCACAGAGGAGGTGAGAACATTTCTGCACATCTTTCTTGGTTAGACTCAGGACTTGGGTTTATGTTGGTTTTGCTCACACCTTCTAACCAAGAACGCTAACCCAGCAACATTTCTTGAAAATCTAAACCAAGAATAGTGTCTGCCCAAGTTTGCTAGCACACCTGCAACAGTCACCCATCATCCTATTCCTACATGTGACAAACCCAGCAGGCACCACCAAACATTCCATTTCTCCTTCAAGCATATTGTGAATTCCAATCCCAAACCTTACACTTTTTACACTTCTCTGAACCTCTGACCTTTCTGGAGCATTTCAGTAGGGATCTAAAGGGTTCATTTGGCATTTATAAGCTCAAAATGTTTCTTTACAAGGAGCTGAATATGTTTCTTTACAAGGAGCTCTTCTTGCTATGCTCTTAAAATCATGGCAAAATAGTTTTCTCTAGGCCACCACTACAGGTCACCCAGAAAAGAGATGGAGTCTCTTTTAAAAGATGTGWRGATGTGACACTTRGGGACATGGTTTAATGCTGGCATTGKCAGTGCTGGTTTAATGAAGGAYTTARTAATCTTWAGGGTMTTTTCTRAACTAAATGATTCTGTGATTCTAAACTGACMATTACAGATTTGCATAATTGTTTTAGAAGAGGCATGCACTTTCTGTGGAAAAAAGGACATTTTTGTCATGAATCTAAAAACTTTCAAGTAAGTCCCACAAACTCTGAAAGCATTCCACCTAAAACCCAAGAAATTCTGTTTTCAGCATTTCACTTCTTTGTTTTTTTCACAACAGAAAGGTATTTTCCATGTAAAGCATGACAGTAAAAAACAACCCTCTTCCAGAGAAAATTCAAACACATATGATTGGACCTGCACAGCATTAATAATGTATCAGGTACACGAGGTACACGAGATACAGATATTAATGCCTGCCTTTATTCAGGTGTTTAGGATCTTGACTGCCTGAGGGAAAGGTCCAAACAGCCACTGGAAAATGCTACTTTTTCTTTACTTTCTGACTGGGAAGACATGTTTAAGAAAAGTCTGGAGATCACATGATCCAGCCCTTCACTCAAAGCAGGCCCATCCTTGAAATTAGACTAAACTWCTCAGTGTCTCATCTGGTTGAATTTTGGATATCCCCAAAGATGGTGGTTTCACAGGGCTCTTTTCCACTGTTTGACCAYGCACAAAGTGAACAAAAATTGTCCACAATATCTTACTCTTATATCTGTTGCCTCAGTCCTGTTGATGTGCACTTTGAGAAGAATTTGATTCAGTCTTTTCTATACCCCTCATAAAGTAGCTGCAATACCCAATTTCATAAGAGATCTTGAATTTTATCATCTTAAAACTGAGTCAGCCCAGGACYCTGAGCTTCTGTTATTGCATGYACTCYTGTCCCCAGCCATCTTGRTGACCTTCCATTGGGCTTGTTCCTGTAAGTTAATAAATAATGTTATATTTATTAGAGAATATAAATTCCCTTCTCCCCATCCTCTTGGTGTATAATCTAGAAGTCCTGAACACTCTGGGCATAGACCTCAGAACACAGGATGAGCACAGACCCTAATGATGAAGGAATTTCCAAGTAAGAGTTTCATTCAGAAAATAAATTTTATATTAATTTGCACTTCTTTTATTAACTTTGTTTAGACTGGTAACTGTTAAGGCTCAGAAATCCTTTGATCAAAGGCCTCACAGAAGTAACTGTAATGTTACTTCTAAAATACAATCTCTCGTGCTGTTGGTCAAATGTCCAGCATGGTGTTTCTCTTGCTAAAATGCTTTCTGAGAAGTCCAAATGGTACAACTTCTGCTCAGAAAAGGTGGTGTAAGTAAACAAGCAGTGGTGTAAACACACAGGTCACTTGGCATGGAAAGTGGAAGCAGAGGACTGTAAAAAAAAAAAAGCAGGCTTGGTAATTATATCATCATTTTACTGCCAGGAAAAAAAATGGGAACGGAGAAAAATTTTTAAAAGCTGCCTCCACTAGAATGAAAAACTGTATCTACTWGCCCACCTAAAGGGTGATAATAGCCATCCTGGGAGTGCTAAACTCTTTGAACTGTGTCTAAGTACYACTTCTGTTTATTTTAAGGAAGGAAACTGTCAGGTTCTGTTTGTTCGTAGTGAGCCATCCACAATGTGCCTGATGCATTCAGGACTAGTAAAATAGTGGTACATCAACTATAGGAAACAAGAGGTTTATCATGGGATTAGTCTTACAGAGATAAAAGTAATCACAGAGTTGCTCAGGACTTCTTGTTTGCTGTGAAACTTGACCACAGGAGGTGATGGGTCTTTTCTTTTACAGCTTTTTCTGSTTGAGGAGGGAGGGAAGTGGGGTTAAAATAAAAACCGTTCATCTCTCCCTTATTTTGTTCTTCCCCATCATKTGGTACTTTGCAAAGGGGCAACTTTATTTTAAGGGATCATGTTTCTACCTTGCAACAAATCCCAGTCATGATTTTTATGGGCTAATTGCATTCCTGAACAGGTCATGAACTCTGGTCTGTTTTATTTCTATTCCTGATTTTAATTTTAATTTTTTGAAAAAATAGTACAGGAAAAGTGAACTGGTGCAACTAAGATCATGCTTTTACTCGCAGTGCTTGTGTTATGGAGGCACTCATTTACTGTTTAAGGGAATAATGTGTTTTATAAAACAGCTGGCTCAGCCTATTAGCTCATCATCTTGTGCCAGGGTTCCTTTATTCAAAAGAAAACTATTTTTGATGGATTTTTAACCTTTAATGCACAGTGGCAATGTCTCTCAGGGACACCATCCACAAGCCAGCTCAGTCTTCCACAGTTCACCTATACCTTTGAGCTGCTGTATTGTATGGTGAACATATCAAAACTCTGGGAAAACMCTCTCTTATGGAATGTAGATGGATCTCCAGGTGGTGTGTGCCTGTTTCATGAAGTTTTGCAGTATCCAGATACCTCAGAGAGGGTGGGATGTGTCTGGTTTTATTTCATAGAGCCAGTAGCAAGGAAAAAAGATGAAAGAGGGGGAATTAAGCTGAGCTGTCTTCTCTGGGGTTTGCTACAGTCTGATCCAAGACTCTAACACGGATCAGGAGAGCTGAGCTCTCCTCTCTTTCTGTTCAACCACCAGCAGTGGTTGAGACAAGCCTGGATTTCACACCACATCAAAAAGGATGCTCCAGTATTCACTGAGGGYACTTTGGTGCAGGATGCCCTTTACAGGAAAGTTCTGAAACAAAAGCATCAGTCAAAAATTTAGACAACAAAATAAAAAATAATTAGAAGAAGACAAAAAAAGTTATATTTTGTACTGGTAAAAGTCAGATTTCCATATGGTTTTAGGGGTGCTTAACAGAAAAGTGACTGGAGCTTACTCTGTTTTACAYTGGTCCTTTCAATTCTAAAATYTGCWGATTAGGAGCTGTCTRTGTAATGATTATTTTTGTTGKTAAGTCCTGMACACAGCAAGCACAAAAATACTGTRAAACACAGAAATGACAAAATTACATGCATTCTGATAAGTTCCATGCGGGATGGATCCATCTCACCCGTGTTGAGGTGACTGGTACAGGAGCCTACCTGGATACCATCAGAGTGAGATCTAATCATTGAGGGAAAACATCTGATTTCTCCACTTTTAAGGAATAAAAATTACAGCCTGCTCTCTACTAACCCAGCTGGGTTGTTTTGGTTTTCTTTTTCCCATTTACTAGCAAGGTGATTTGCTCAAGTTTGGTTCTCTACTTTATTGATGAGCACTTTTGATCAGGTATCTCTCACTTTTAGTCACACAGAAAAATAAGGGATGTAAGGTTCACCCATTCTGTCTCCACAGCCTTTGGATAGCTTTCAGAACTACTGCTCAGAGTWAATTTCAAAGAATCAGTGGAAGGTATGAAAAAAGGAGTTAAAGTTGTGGCTCAGCTCACCYCATGATCCAACCAAGTGGAATTGGTGTGGATGGTGATGGGGGTAAATGCCCTTGATAATGGAGTGTAGAGTTTATCTCTCTCTGCAGAAGAAATACAGAGGAAACAGGATGTTCCAACAAAATTCTGTTAAATATTGACCTAGATACCTAGCAAAAAAMCTTGTCCATACTCAGAGACCTGTAAAAGGTATTTAAGGAAATTTTTTTTTCAAGCCCTTGTCCAGCACAGATATTATCTGCCTGACAATAAACACTTTTTAACATTTGTGCAAAATCAAAAAAAACAGGGCTAAGCACTCCCTTAAATCATCATCAGTTGTCTCCTTCCAGTTCTGTGAGCATAGGGGGAAAAATTGCTAAAGATGTGCGTGTTGGCCAAACAATTATTTAAACACATAAAATGGAATAAAGAAGTGACTCCAAAGCCAGATTGGTTTTCAGATAGTGAGAATTCAACAAGAAAGGAATGATTGTGATTTCAGACATTCATATAATGAAATACTAAATTCTTGCAATCTCCTCATCTCTGACCAAAGGCAGACAAGAGAGGTAAGATAGACAATTCAAACAACCTCACTGTTCCCCACAGTCCCTCTTTGCAAAAAGATCCAACATTTGTATGACTGGTGGTACAGCAGCACCACAGATTTCCATTTAGAGAGAACAGCAAAGTTTACTTTGAGAAAAACTCAAAATTGAACACTGAAAACTATATCATGCCAGCTGACAGACTTTTTAAAATCTACTGTGTAGTGCAATGGAAAATAGACAGCAAGGGAAAAAAAAGAAGAAAATATTTTTTAAAACCTGTTTTACAATTATTATTTTTGTTGTTGACATCTTTACTTTTCTCTCTACTCSAGGGTATGATCAGGTGAATAAATTTCCATAATTTTTGCTACGGTCTATCTTGTCATACTCCAAATTGGTGAGTTCAGATTTTTTTAGCATTGTTTAAAACAAGCTTTACTAGTAATTCATATTCCTTGAATAATCACATGAAAAGCAATTGGGTGGCCAAAGGTGAGGCCCTGTGTTCTCTGGATGGATGAACAATGCCTAATTGTAAGGTAATCTACATTATGAACTCCAAGTCACTCTCCCATGCTGGAAAAAAGGCCACTGTGCCAATTCCATCACACATTTCCAGCAAGGTGCCCCCCCACAGGCATAGTCTGCTCCATCCTCCAGTTACTGCTTTCTCTTGATTTTAACCACCACCATTTTCACTTCTTGTTGTCAAGAGTTCGTTTTTCTCTTTGTTATCACAGACAATAAACATAATCTTACAACATCACACACAAAATCAGATTTTTTTGGCAGTTCCTCTACCACAAAGCCTTGTGAGTTCAGGTGACCAAACTCCTYACCACCTCATCCCTGAAAAACCACTTTTCCTTCAGTCCTCTGGGAACACTAAGGAAGCCATCCAGGGAGAAATTGAGATGGAAATATTTATGTTAAGTAGATTATTTCTAGCCAAACATTCAACGTATTCAGGTCATGCTTAAGGGAAAGCAACTGTTCTGCAAGCAAAGGGAAATTGGGAGAGGGAAAAAAAAAAAAAAAAACCCACCCGTCTGCTGAAACGAAAGCCAAAGACAGGCCTGGTCCTTCCCTTCAGAGGCCTGAAAGAGAATGAAGGGAAAGTCTGAGACTTCCTGCCTTTGTAATGAGTTTACTAATTAAATGTTAATTGTGGGCCTCGACTGACCAACATTTAAATGAGGCCTCGGAGCCAGGAATTGGGCTATTGTGGTTGAATTGTTTATACGGACAGGAAAATGGCTTTCTAAACATCGGATTCCTGCGCGCTGGCCAAGCTCTGGAGGAAGCTTCACGTGGAGAACTCCTGGGGATCGTGCCCAAGGGCTGCTCCAGCTTTAGTCAGGGATTGAGCAAAATTCTGGATGCTCCTGGATTCCTCCTTTGCTAGGACAGGGTGGCTGTGATGGAGACATTGAGCAGGACAGCGATGCCAACGCACCGAGGGGTGCATTTCTCTAACGTAGACAGGAGGTTCCCCACCTCATGAGCCGTGGGTGGTGATTAGAGGATATTTGTGCCTTATTCTGAGATTAGAAGTGGTTTGTGGCAGGAACTCTACTTTTTTCATCTGTGTTGAGTGTAGAAAGCAGCAGCATGGAGCTGTGCCTCGAGGCTGGTGCTCACAGTCTCAACTGCAGTACTGAAGCTTTCACACTTTAGTGTTTCCATCTTTTCTTTATTCTTTTTGAGAGTGTCCACATACTCAGATTGGCTGTTGAAACATATTACAGTGTGGACTCTGATACATCTTCTATAACTTACGCTGAATTTTTGTCTTTGGGACAGTCAGCAGAGTTTTGAACTCATTAGTCTGACTAGTTTCCTCACTCCCTTACATTTGGTTTTACCTGAATTTCCTACGGTAACTTGAAGAGCCTTTTCACACCCACACATTCACATCACCTGCTGCTCTTTATCCAAAATCCTCCTGCTAAGGAGCAATCAATGTGTATGGCTCAACCCCTGAACCACTTAGATCACTTGTTCAGCTCTTGTCATTCCTTCTTCTTTCACTACACATCTCAAAATCTAATATATAATATCCTAAGCATCCTTAGGATGTCTATCTTCAATTTCAAAACCTTGGGCCAAGTAGTTTTTGAAGAATCCATGCTTTAGTCAGCCTATGCAGTCTTGAATTTTGCTGAAAGTATTTCAGTACAGTAGCATGATATGATGAGGTAAAAATGGTTTGGGGTGGGGGCAGAAGCTCTGGAGGAAAATTGTTTCTTGCATATCCATTTCTTCCCTGAAGTATTCTTGATTAAAACTGACTGCTCTACCTTAAGCTTGGTGACTGTGATTAGTACCTGTCCCCATCAATGTCAATAAATTTGGCCTGGCAAATTCTTATTGAACTCTCATYCTCATGTGAGCTTCCCCTTTTATTTCTGTGTTTAAGTCGTACCTTTGTATTGTCGGTAGTYTAGATTTGAAAATGTATTTGACCATTATATCTCAGGGGGGTAGGAAAAAAGCACTTGCCTGATTTACCAATTAGCCTTCTATTTTATTTTAGAAATTGATGTCAGGGAAGTGAAGTGATAGCCTAAGCCATGCTGAAAGGTTCTATTAGTTTTGGGGTAGCCACAGTGTTAAGCAATTCCAGCTTACCTGGGAAAGGTCAGATGAGCCCCAGTGATAAAGCTCACAGCTGAATGTTGTACTTTATTGCGGAACAGCTTCAAGCTGCATTAGCCAACAGTGACTTAAACTAGTAAACTGGGTTCCCATCAAGCCCAAATTGAGCTTTTGTCCCAAAAGGTCCCACTGGATTTCCRATTCTGAGAACTGAAGCCAAACCAACTTTCCTGTTGTCTTTTACCCTCAAAAGAAAACTAAAATTCATGTTTGCTTTTTGTTTGGTTTGTTTTCTTTTATTCTAGTTTAACAGTGAAGATTAAGGCCTTCTACATCCATGGAATATGAGGAAGCAAAATGCCTCCCCTGGGATTTTCCCTGCTCTTTGGAAATGTCARTAAGCCAAAGCATAGCAGCAAACCTGATGAGAGGCCTTTAATGTCAGCTCAGGGATTGGGTTGTGCAACAGGAGCAGTCCTGTGGTACCACACCCTGAACTCCTTTTTTATTAAATTATTTGGTTTTGGTCAAACAAAACCATATCCTGCTTCAAGCAGTTCCTTTTGGTAATTTTGCTCAGGTCTGTTCCATCTTTGTATGAAGATGTTCTGAGCAGTGTGTGCTGAAATATGATCTGGTCATCATGTCTGCCAAATTCTCTGCTGGGATCAGTCCATASAGCATCACCAATGCCAAGGAAGGAATTTACTGGGATTACTGGTTGTCTGCTCAATTATATTTAAGGAATTTTTTTCTTGTACTAAAAAAAACGTTTCCTATTTCCTCCGTGTTTGAGAATAACCCATTGATTTCAGTACAGATACTTCTGACTGCARAACTGCACCAGGTGAAATAAACTTTGTATTCCTGCATATGATGGGTTTAGATTAGATGTTAGGAAGAAATATTTTATTCAGAGTGTGGTGAGGCCCTGGCAAAAGTTGCCCAGAGAAGTTGTGGCTGCCCCTTTCCTGGAGATGTTCAAGGCCAGGTTAGGCATGTCTTGGAGCAACCTGGGATGGTGGAAGTTGTCCCTGTTCATTTTCAAATCATTCTAGTTAGAAAAAAAAAATCAAGAACAGGAAGAAAAATAATTGATGCTTTTTATTTTTTTTTTTTCTATTTTAGTAGTGAATGTGAAGTGACCCAGAAAATCAATTATTTCCTCTAATATAAAGCTATAATCCTCTCTAACAGCTAGAGCTGAGTTTAAGCCTTGAAGTAGAAGGTTTAATATGCCTTCCAATGGTTTATTGTCTTTAATTATGGCTTATATTGTTGTCCTTGGTACCTGTATAAGAATGGACAATCATTTTTTTTAATATGATCTCTTTAGAGAACAAAGCGCGTCAGCTGACATTATCTGAGCCTTACATCTTGCTACCTGTTCCACAATGAGAAGGTCTGGGTTTAGGCCAATTTCAACCACATTTGACAGAGAAGCAGAGATACCAAGTTCCTGAAAAGTTTGATTGTAAGAGTAGCCTGAAAGTGGAACAGAATGACTGRATTATTCCAGGGAAGCTGCACAGAAGGAAAACTTCCTAGAAATCCAAATGTAACAAAGATTTGACCAACATTTGCACTTTGTAATGTTCTAGGAAACTAACTCCACAGATCCTTCTTTTGCTTTGTTTAGGGCAAGCTGTTTATTTTTTAAACTTGTAAAACCCTGCTCTTAGAAAGTTGATAGCAAATGTTCCCCAGATTAGTTGTATATTGACAGTAAAAGTATGACCATAGAATGGTTTGAGTTGGAAAGGAACTTGGGGACCRTCTGGTTCCAGTGCTCCTGTCATGAGCAGGGACACACACCTTCCACTAGACCAGGTTTAATTTACCCATCCAGCCTGCCTTGAACACTTACAGGGTTAGGGAATCCACAACCAATCTGGGCAACCCATGCCAAGGCCTCACCACCCTTACAACAAAGAATTTCTTCCTAATATCTAATGTCTCTATGATCCTACAGATGTTTCAGATGTACCCTTTATGCCACAGCCCAGTCTGTGGCTGATGGTAAAGAATGGAGGTTTTTCTGCATAGTTCTGAAAATAACCCGAATTTCATTTCATTCATACCTCACGTGTTTTGGGTTCCTGAACCACTTGATCTAGTGGGCAGCACCCCTGCCCATGAGGGGGTGTTTGGATCTAGATTATCTTTAAGGTCCCTTCCAACCCAAAACATTTTATGACTCTGATTTCCTTGTATGCCTTCATTCATTCCACACCTCCTTCCTGTGCCAGTTCTAATTGCATCCATTATATTTTTGTCCTTCTGCCTTTTTTTTCAGCTTCCTGCTGTCCCCATTCCTCAGTGTGCACCCATTTGGTACCTACATGAGTGGCCCCAACAGAAGTTAATTTAAACAACATAAATTTGCATTGGAGGTCTCCCTTCCAAATCCCTACCAGGCCCAGCGCTGCCTGGTTTTTATGAATTAATGGCATCACTGCCTAAGGTGCAGAAGCTCTGAGAAGTAATCTGCTCCCCTGTAATGATTTGGTTCTTATTATACTGCAATGATTAAGGCTGCAAGTTGAAAAAACTGTTTAAGTGCACATTAAACATATGCTTAAGCCTTAATGGTGATAATAATAGCAACACTCCCAACTGCATAGTTGTAAAATAGGGGAGAGAAACCTGGACTGCCTACTGGAGTCATATATTTTCATCCTAGATTAAAAGTGCAATGAAAGATGAGATGAGATGAGAGGAGATGGGTTTATACCAGCTTTAGTAGTACCACAGGACAGTGTTATCTAATTCTCATATTTTAAAGACGTTATTAAAAAGTAAACCATCTGATTTGGCTTCCTGTTCCATCTCATCCTGTTAGGCCTGTATCTAGCTGTAACTTGTGTTGGACTAGCACAATTCCACCTGGAAGGTGACTCAATTTAAATTAAGAAGCATGCATCAGGAAATGGAAACCCCATCATTGCTTTCTGTAGTTTCTTAATCAGCCTCATTGTTAAAAAGATGTGTGCTTTCTCTCYAAGATGAACACGTCTAGCTCTCATATCCATGATTCTTGTTATCTGCTTTCTGACAGATTAAACTGCCCTTTCACATCCGGCATTTTCTCTATTATGCAGTGTAATCAAAGCATTTCTCAGTTCTCTTTCATACAGGCTAAATAAATKGAGTTCTTCATTTCTCACACCATCAGGCATTTCCCCCACACCTCCAATCCTTCCAATGCTTTCCTTCTGTGTCCTCTCCACATCTACAGCACCCACCCCAAAACAGGAATCCCACACTTCACGCACAGACCTCCAGATCCCGGGAGTTCCTGACCTGTGGCAAGGAACTCTTCCAAAATATTCTGGTTTGGCATAATTTATTTTTATTTTTTTCTCAGACGAGCTTTTGATGGGCAGAAACCAGGCTAAGAGAGCACTGACCCAGCAGGTGTGAAGGTGCAAGAAGCTTTTCCTTGGGGACAGGAGCAGYCTTGTGCCCTGGCTACATCCAGGACATCCCATCTGCCTGTG